TGAATGAGAATTGATTTTGTTATTTAGGTTGAATTTCTAGCACCTCAGACAGCCAAAACATATTTCAAAGTGTAGGGAGCAAGACAATAGGAGGAAAAAAGTCCAAAGAGTGCAGAGCTTGCTCTCTCCATTTATCTCCTAAGCATTTAATTTGGTAGCTAGTTTATCCACTGCTAATTCTTCATTCATATTTATTATCAGCTACATTAAATGTTATTAGATTACAAAAGTCAAGAACTCGAGCATTAGGAAGTGCCAAAATTAAAAAGTTGCCAATGCAAAAATATAGGGATGTACAGATGCAACATGCCAAAACATGTATTAAAAGGCCAGTCACCCTAGAGTTAAGACATCATCAAAATAGCACTAAAGGAGGACACAAACGTAAAATGAATTGTAACTAACTGGTTTAATACACTATCAGTCTAAAAAAACAAAAAGCAAGAAAAACCCAACTATCTTCCCCTCAACCCTGCCCCAAAATAACTTAATATAAAAATACATTTAAAAAAGACACTGAAACAGAAGTGATACAAGTTCAGTGACAGATCAGATGGGCTGCAGACCCCATCACTTATTTGTGATAAACTTGCTCCCATGTGATTTCTGTTATCACCAATAAGCGATTTGTCACCAGGCAGTCTCCTAGCAGGATATAAATAGCTTCTTTTTGTAGGATACAATAAGGATTTATATGGTATGGTAGAGAGTGAACAGTGAGATAAGATGGAATTCATGCCATGCCTAACCCTCCTTCCCTCAAAACATCATATATGAACTTGGTTCAAGCCACAGTCTTGGTAAAAATAAACCTATGATATCTGTTAATACTGCTTCCCTTCAGAGCAAGCGGAGCAAAACACTAATGGAGGTCATTCTTAAGAGAATGTCTCAGAGCATCACATATATACCAAAAAACCCCTGAAATAAACCAAACCTCATTATAAAAGTTTGAGGGTGCATGATACTAATGGGGTGGGCTGGGCGGACGGCAGAGGAGGAATTGTACCTTAGGAACCTGTTGCAGAAACAGCTTCCAAATCAACATACTAGCTCAACTGCCTTCTGCTTATGCTGTAACTATGGCTACTCTCCTATTCCAGGAACTGCACTGATGGACTTGCTTCTGTGAAAAGTTACACCTAATAGTAAGTGAAAGCCATGACAACACTGTACACAAGGCTTCAGACGATTTCTGCAGCAAGGCTGAAATCCACTTAACCACGTGGATAGAGTCTGGCTTCAGAACTGCACCATGTGGATCTCAGCTAGCCACACAACAAGCTCACTTGGCTTTAATTAACAGAAATTACTCAGAACTTTGAACAATTCATGAATAAAAACTGCTCCACAACATCAGTTTAAAAACATCTTGAGCATCTTAATATGATCTACAAGTAGGAGTACGGAGACGTTTTAGCTACCTCACATATAGAAAACGATAAATCCTATGTCAAAATGCTCACAATTTATCTTTCCTGTCTTGAAAGGTAGAGGATGAGCTAATGGCCCTGCAGAAGAAATTGAAAGGAACTGAAGATGAATTGGACAAATACTCAGAAGCTCTTAAAGATGCCCAGGAAAAACTGGAGCAGACTGAAAAGAAGGCAACAGATGTAAGTAGAAACAAATAATTAAGATTTGTAACTAGAATACTGCATTTTGAAACACAAATTAGCACATTATTGTTATGTTCAAGTACATGTTAATCTATTACAGTCATCTGAACAAAAGAGCACACATCAGATTATGTTTCAGACACACTTCTCCCCCACAATATGCACATGTCTGTTGATCAGTGGCTAGATCTAGCGCACAACTATCCTAAGACCAGGGTTGCCCCAGAGGGATCTCAGAGGCAAGCTTTAGAGCCAGCTACTGAATTCACCAACCCCTACACTGTTAGTGGCACAGGGAACAAGATCAGTGCTGCTCAGGATGTCCACGTGCCATAACCCACTCAAAGAAATACCACACAGAGTCCCTACAATTGGTGTCCTCACAGCATCTAAAGGCTTGCACCCTTATTTTCTTCAGTCACAACCAAAAGTATGGCTCCCAGTTAAGGTACTCAAATACAAACTGTGAAACCTAAATCGCTAGAGTCAAGCAAGTTACCCCTCAACCTAGCACTTCCATTAACAGTACCATTAGCTTGATTACCCAACCATAAGTGGTGCTTCTTGCCTGCACAGACTCATACCCCAGGAACACCTCGCTTCTTACAGAAAGTGTAAGCCGCGTGCACCCGGTTTCTGCACTTCTCCTCCCACCCAAAGCATAAGTTAGTCTTCACTCTGCCTGCAGCACTTTGCAGACTCTGTCATAATGAGCTGGACAAATGAGGTCTGGATGCCACATGTCCCTAAGAAGGAAGGAGGGGCAGGTGGGATTCTTCAGCACAGGGAAAGCTCATCTGCAGAGGCCCTAGTGGGAACCTAGAACAGGTGGATGCTTGGCGGGGGGGGGCCGGCGACGGTGTGGAAAACAGGCACTGAGGTGGACATATTAGAGCTGGAGTAAGTGTTGCTGCATTGAACCCTGAGCAGCTCTTCAGTGGGCAGCCTGAAGGCAGTGGTTCTGGAAGACCCAAGGAAGGTCTCCTAAGATCTCCTGGACATTGCATCTCCCACGGGGAAGATCCCTTGAGGTTCAAGGGAGGGCAACTTTGCCAAAGGATCTGCAGGAGACATTGCTCCAGGGAGGCAGAACACAGGAGGCCAGCTCACTCCCCAGGGGTCCACACAGAGGGTGCCCCTGGCTATCTGCTGGGATGTTGGTATGCAGGGGGAGGCTCCTGCAGGTCTGGAATGAGGTCCCCTGCTCCACTTTTTTGGCAGCTTCCCCTGCCATGTGATGCCATCCCCAGGTACTGAGGTCACCAACTCACTGAGAGTGGTGGGTCCAGGACAGCATGGAAGCCAAGGACATGCAGTAGTCTTGTGTCCCATCCCATCTCCACCATGCTCATGACCCTGGTGTCCTCTCTGGAGCAGAAGATTCAGTGTCTCCAGCAGCAGACAGACTAGGTGGAGGATTGCACACAGGCTCCGCTTCAGGCCCTGGAACAGGACCTGTGGGAGAAACCAAGACCCTGCACCAGGTCCCTGGCTGCCCCTCCACCCCTTTGCTGGGATTCTCTTGCTACCTTTGATGTCTGCCTCAGCACCCTGTGCAGCTCGCAGGGGAATTACTTCCTCCAACCACTTTCATGCCTGCCCTGGCATCCCAGTTCAGAATCAGTACTATAGATTTAGGCACTAGTTTCACTTCAGTATCTTTCTGTTATTTTACCACATGTGGCCAATGACTTACTCCACAAAGGATTTTCCTTATAAAAGTATGGAAAGCTTTAAGAGAGTTAACCAAGTCTCTTCTTCCAAATTATTTCCTAGCCACATTAAAAATGAATAAAAAAAGGAAAGATGCTTAGAATGTGACTTCATTAAGCTACAACCACAAGTTAAATGGGCTATAGCTCAGGCTGATTTTGATGCCTGTTTTCTAAAGTGGCTCTTATAGGAAGCCATCCAACTGAAATCACTGCAGAAATGAAGTGAGATCATTAAAAAACTTGTAATTTAGGAAAAAAAAATAGGGTCAGAACTGCACTGGGGAAAGGAGACACTAGAATTTCTACTGTATCAGCACAGTAAAGGAAGAAAATGTGGATGGGCCCCTAAGATGTGCAATGACCAAAGGCCTGGATTTATAGCAAGTCAGTCATTGCAGGTATTATACAGAAATACAGTACAATAAACTCCCAAATGCATCAGTTTTGTCCCTATGCATCCTGTCCTCAAGGGGAATGGTTAAAAAAAAAAAATTCTGAAACTTGGCATTCAACTGAGGATCAGATTTGAGTGGGTCTAAGTACTAGTTAGATCAGCCATGACTATATTCCAAACCTAGCACCACAGGAATCAGTTGAGCACCCCCACCCCCTCTATTTTTATAAGAATATGCTTCATTTAGAAAGAATATGTGGAAAAAGAATAATTACATTATATCTCTACATAAGCCTTTGCAAGACTACTGTAACCGCTATCTGCTACTTTGCTTAATTTAGTTCTTCAAAGTGAGTCTGAAGGTGTAGTTTCAACTACCTCCAAGTTGGTAAACATTGTTAGACGATCTAAATATATTTTGCACCTTAACTTGTGTTCCCAGTTTAAGCCAAATCTCCCAATTATATACTTACCATATCAGTTTTGCTTGGCGCCTCAGATTTTTCTTAATTATTAATAGTCCAAAACTACACACAAAATGCCTTAAGCCCTCAAACCAAACACTTCAGTTATTTCATCTCTACTGTTCCCCGTCCTCAAATTGCCCCAACATAAGAAGTTCTCTCTGGTCCAAAGCATGCTGCTCTCCTAATGATTGTGGGGGAAAGTTGCAGGATTTGCTGCTCTCTGATGATAACATTATTGATATACTTCTAGATGAGTGAAGTCTCTGTATATGTAATTAAATAGTAACCTGAAAGGTAAAAAACATAAACAGGTGAAATGATTTAGGAAAAAGGCACTCTTGATGCAGCCAAAAAATTACGTTGGGCCAAAACTGAAGTTATTGGAAAAGTTATAGTTTCACTCCACAAAAAACTTTAACTTTTTTAAGACCCCATATTTCCCTCAAACTTAAAATGCTGGGGAAACAAAGATTATTGTTTGTACAACAGCTCTCTACTATAGGGGTGTAGGTTGTAGCCGTGTTGGTCTAAGGACATAGGCAGACGAGGTTCTTTGGGTGAATCTGATAAAAGATATCAGTATCTAATAAAAGAGATCAGATTCACCCAAAGAACCTTCTCTGCCACAGCTCTCTACTGTCACTTAAAATGACTGTGTATTAAGGTAACTTTTATATGTGAAAGTGAAGTAAAATTTAAGGATCAGTTTTGCGTTGATAAAAATGCGGGCATAATAAAGTATAAATGTCGACTTACCACACCCAAAATTCAAAGCTAAACCATACCAATCTGACTTACATTTGAGAAATGCAACTTTGTGAGTGGAGAAGACTTTTGCGAAGTGGCAAGTCAGAAGAGATGCATGTTAGCCAGTTGTGAAACGTGAGCATTATCTGACCCCCTAAATGCCAGTGTAGGAATAGGTTATTTCAGATATTATCAACAATCAGTGTTGCAAGATGTCCGCTTCATTTGTACACGGTAAGAAGGATACTGACAGAACTGTCATCTCCCTGCATGCAAGACTTTTTTCTGGAGACTTACCCTATGTACCTTTATAAGAGGAGCCTGTATTAAACTCCTCATCCTAACAGATTCCCTGACTTGTATTCATTCCATCTTGCCCCAACCACCTAATTCTTAGAGGGCTGGAGGAGGCAGAAGAAGGCATAAAGTGGAATTATTTCATCTGTGTACCATTTATTCAAACACAGAGTGGTAACTCTGCTGGTGATGCACAAATCATCCTCTAGACAATTAACTGCACAAAAACTGTGGGCACTTCATGAATTTAGATGACCATGTAAAGTACAGAAATGGCTTGAAGCAATTATTCCAATGGTAAACCACTTGAGGCAACAGTTAGGATCCTCAATTAGATTATCAGCATAACACAGGTGTTGACATTTTGGATCCAGAAATTTTAAGGTATTTTAACTTCCAACTCCAGCCAGATTTCTACATATTGAATCTGTGTAGCACCATTAGACTCATAGACACTAGGGCTGGAAGGGACCTCGGGAGATCATCGAGTCCAGCCCCCTGCCCCAGGGGCCGGAAGTCAGCTGGGCGTCATAGGATCCCAGGAAAATAAACATCCAAATGTCTCTTGAAGGCGTTCAAAGTGGGTGCTTGAACCACCTTCAGCAGCAGTCTATTCCAAACCTTGGGGGCTCGGATAGTAAAGAAGGTCTTCCTTATGTCCAGCCTGAAACAGTCATGGAGCAGTTTGTGACCGTTCGACCTTGTCATCCCTTGGGGCGCTCTGGTGAACAGGACGTTCCGCCAGATCCTGGTGAGCGCCCCCAATAAACTTATAGGTGCTGCCAGATCACCCCTGAGCCTGCGCTCTTCCAGGCTAAAGAGTCCCATGGCTCTCAGCCTCTCATCGTAAGGTCTGTTTCCCTGACCTCTGATCATGCGCGTGGCTCTTCTCTGGACTCTCTCAAGCTTCTCCACATCCTTTTTGAACTGTGGGCCCAAAACTGGACGCAGTACTCCAGCTGTGACCTCACCAAGGCCGAGTACAAGGGGAGAATGACGTCCTGGGATTTGCTTGAGAAGCATCTATGGATGCAGGCCAGTGTTTTGCTCACTTTACTAGCTGCAGCATCACATTGAAGTCTCATGTTCATCTTGTGGTCAGTCATGACCCCCAAGTCCCTTTCATCCGTAGTGCTAGCAATTAACTTGTTTATGGTTGTTCTTCTTGTCCCTTCTCACTGAGACCTAATGGCTAATTTCATTGAAGGATTGATTAGAAAGAGGAAAGTTGGTGTGTAATTAATATAAACACTATTACCATGGCATTTTGATAATTATATATTTAAATAAAAGTAAGTCCAGACCTAGAGTTCCTTGCATGGAAGAAGTAAGCAAAACAAAACAAAAAGCCCTTTGATTTTAAAGAAATTAGTTGCATGTAATTTGCATTTTTAATGGATAAGGTTGGCTGGGCTTTTTTTTTAACTTTTGTTGATTGGTGTATTTAGGCTGAAGGTGAAGTGGCAGCTTTGAATAGACGCATCCAACTAGTGGAGGAGGAGTTGGATCGTGCCCAAGAACGCTTGGCCACAGCCCTGCAGAAGCTGGAGGAGGCAGAAAAAGCAGCTGATGAGAGCGAGAGGTAGGCATTGAAAATACAATGTAGATGGGTGACTTACTTGAGTCAAACAAGGTATTCTCTTAGATATATAGAATTTACAAACTTGGAACACTGAAATTCTCTGACCACCCCACCAATACTTTTGTGTGTTTAATTCTAGAATTGCAAGAAATAACGAGCCACAAATACATAACTGACTGAGAAAAGGCTTGTCTAGCACTTCCTTCTGCCTCATCTGAAGAGGGTCAAAAAAGCTTGCTGCCCTTCATACAGCAGCCAGGAGCTTGCTTTGCAGTAGCCAGAATTCAGAGGTTGAATTCTCCTTCGTATTTCCTAATTTTTCTGCCATAACCAGTTGCATTTCTGTCCCACCCTTCTTTAGCAAATTCAGGAATCTCTGCTGAGCTTACCTCAAAAGCCTTACGTGCAAAAAGTGAGCCTAAAAAATAACTCAAATTATAAGCAACACTGCTGCAATTCAAGAGAATACGTCACTGAACAACACAGTGTTAACAAGCTTGCAAATGTCAGCCTGAGGTTGCATATGGTTCTGATGCCAGCTTCAAAACACTCAGTAGCACACTTTAAGAATCTATAATAGATTTATTCTGTCTGTCTTGAGCACTCTGACTGGCCGTCTCAGCAGCCAGTCACAATGCTTACTGAAACAACCAGAGTGCTCCAGACAGATAGAATAAGCATGTTATGGAAGATCCTTAGGCATTTCAAACAGATATGCAGGCAAATCAGAGCTAGAATGAAGCACCAGGCCCCCCTGCCACAGTGCAGACAGGCTCCGCCAAAGGGAAAAGTGGTGAACCCAATGCTTTTTTTTCCCCCCTCCACCCAGAGCCTGCCTGCCTCTCCCATGGCTGTTGGGCCCTGAGCTCCAGGGGGCCCTGGTGCTTCCCTCTGCAGCAGTGGCACCAACTGACTGCCCAGCCCAGCCCAGCCCCTGGCTTGTTTACTTTTCATCCCATCCAGGAAGAGCACACACCAACTGCTGCAGCTTCCTTAGCCTGACGAAGGGTTTTTGAACCCGAAAGCTTGCTTAATAACTATTCTCCAACCATTTGGGTTGGTCTAATAAAAGATATCAAATTCACCCAAGGAACCTTGTCTGCCACAAAGCTTGGCTTTTTCAGGTAAGCTAAGTCTACAGTTCGCAACCAGGTGTTATGGCCCCCAGGGACATCATAAGATCCTTTTAAGAATGTCATTTATGTCACACAATATTAGCACATGTAAACCCAAATATTTTTAAACAGGAATCTAGTTTCAAACATTCTGACCTATTGTGGTCTGAGTTCTTTGCAACAGAGGAATTGCTCTGTTTTTCCACAGTTTAAAAAAAATTAAGTGAAAGCTAAGATCTAGCATTTTTTTTAAGGGTGCTTTGAGTCTGAGTCCTCAAAAGTTGAGAGCTGCTGATTTAAAATCTACAAAAGCTCTGAGATCCTGCTAAGGAGAAAGTTAGAGTAAACCCCCCCAAAAGGTAGAATTTTACTACTTCAAAGTAGATTTCAAAGGATAACAATCAGCAAATTCAGATAAGTAGAGATTCATTCCAACTACTGTAGTCAGTCTGTCTGTTAGCCCCTGGAAACATTAAATGTGCATGCAAGACACAGCAAAACCATCTTTAATAAACTATAAAGTAGTTGACATCAGGGTCTACCCAGATAACAAGCTGAATTGTTTGTAGTAAACACATGCTTTGTTTTATTCTGCAGAGGTATGAAGGTTATTGAAAACAGAGCAATGAAGGATGAAGAGAAGATGGAAATTCAGGAGATGCAGCTGAAAGAGGCCAAGCATATTGCTGAAGAGGCTGATCGCAAATATGAAGAGGTAAAAGGGTGGTGTAAGAAACCAGTCTCTGTAGGCAAAAAAATCAACGTTGAACAAAAGAATTAAAATAAATGTTGTAGTTGCTGTAACATTATTCCAGCTTTGGACTAGTTCTCAGAACAAAGACAGAAATGCAGTTCCTAACATATTCTGATTTAACATGAAATGAGTTTGCCCTCCTAGCATCTCAGGGTATCTAACACTAAGAGCATTCCAAATCTTTCTTCTTCCAGGGGAGGAATCCTTGCATCCTGTTGTGTCTCCCTTGCCACCAGTGTTAGAGTGGCAGCCTAACTTGGACCAAATCTTTAACATGCCTTTCACAGATTACACGCATCCATGGAGTGCCATTTCTAACAAGCATCAGGCAGAGGAGAAGGAAAGCTGTAAAGACAGAGGGCTTTGAGGGACAAATGAGGATTATGGAATGATTCCGGTGGCTTAAAAAAAAATGTTTTTTGCAGGTTGCCCGTAAACTGGTCATTCTGGAAGGTGAACTCGAGAGAGCTGAGGAACGTGCTGAGGTGTCAGAACTGTGAGTAGCTGTTCAAGATAATCTCTCATATATACAGCAAAAGCTTAGAATATAAAACTACTGATGTAAAGGTTTCTTTGGTTCCTGATATTCCCCTAAAGGCTTATGCAGGATCACTTCCCATTATCCATAACCTGGAAAGCCGTGTGCTGGATAGTTTTCATAGTGACCATTACTGTAATATGCAAGTACTGAGACACTTCTATTTAAACACTACTAGTGTTATAAAGAAATGCGGTGTGATTGAGCTGTGTGGTAGTGGTGTTAATATATCGGGGGAGGGGGAAGGTAAAGTATACAAGAACAACCAAAAGTCAGATCACCACCTCCTAGTACACTTAGAGTACTGTTCTTTGTTCACTACTTAAGCTAGCTGGTCAGTTATATTAAGAATTGCCAAGACATAACTCAAACTTAGTTCTGATTAGTACGTTTTGCTGCTAAATCTTACATGCAACATGTTACTTCCTACAAGATCTCCATATCAATTCTGTCCCCGCAAATTCTTGAGACTGTCAGGTTCAATATAATCCCCTACTTGCATTTTCAGGCCTAGTCTAAATCTTAAGCTTCACAAACATTTGTATTTTATGCACAACCAAATAACTGGGCAACACAAGAGCACAGCTCTCAAAATACTGCAAAGGTGCTTACAACAGTCATGAATTTGTAAGCTTCTGTTGCTATGCACATGAGTTCTGTTCAGAGAACAAACAACTTTCTTGAATTTGAATTCGTAACAAGGTGCATTTCATTAGAAAAATTACTATTAAAATGCAGTTTTCAGAGCACATTTTGGAAAAGTAAAGCAAAACAAAACCCACATAATACTATAAATGTTTTAGGGACAGACCCCACTTAATCTATTAAATGCCTAAGTGCAGTCCTACTCCACCTTGTTTGAGTCCCAGAAAAAAAACCAACACATTAATTCATCTATTTTTGTAACACACCACCAATCACCCTAACCTTAACATGAAGTCACAAAGAAGCAGTAAGGAGGAGGACAAGGACCCACCAGGAGGACCTGCCACTTAGTGTGCTGAGGCAGTAGAATGTGACAGTTCAGCATTCTGGACCTTTTGCAAAGTAAGCTTCATCATGCAAGGAAAATAAGAGAACTGACTTACTCGGCTTTCGTCTTTCCATAGTAAATGCAGTGACCTTGAAGAGGAACTAAAGAACGTTACTAACAACCTGAAGTCCCTGGAGGCTCAGTCAGAGAAGGTTGGTGCTTCCCATGTAAAAATATAGAATGCTTGGGTCTGAAAAGAGACTGAAGTTGGTGACACAGATGTACATTTCCTCAAAACTACTTGGAGAGGGAGGTAATTCGTAAAAATAGTGAGGTAAATTGTGGCAGTCTATCTTGACCTCCTGCACAAAAGGAGGCATTAACTTCCAATTCAGTGATTGATCACTCTCACTGTAAAAACAAAAATTCTACAACACCAAAAGACTGCAGTTACTGCATGGTATGCTGTATCATAGAAAATTAAGACTGGCAAGGATCTCAGAGTCATCTAGTCCAGCCCCCTACTCAAGGCAGGACCATCCCTGTCAAGTGTCTGTCCGACCTGCCCTTGCGAGAGGAAACCTTTTGTTGGTAATATTTTTTTTGTTGGACCGACTACATGGTTGGCCCTGCTCCTGAAAATTTCCAGGAATGGGGATTCTACAAGCTCTTCAAGCAGTCTGTTCCAATGCTCAACCATCCTCACAGTGAGAAAGTTCTATCTAATCTCCAACATAAATTTCCCTAGCCACAATTTAAGGTCATCACGCCTGTCCTCTATGGACATAGAGAACAGCACATCTCTGTATCTACCCTCCAAGTACTTCAATACTGTTATCAAATTCCCCTGTCTTCCAACCCCCTCATTTCTTCTCTTTTCCAGACTAAATTACATGTGGTACTCTGTACTTGCCTTTATAAAATCATCTTGTTTATTTCAGAGCCGGTGTAATTTTTCAAGATCATTGTGAATTCATGCTGTACTGTGAAGTGTCTCCTACCCCAGTTTAGTTTTACAGGAAAAAAAAAAAAAAAAAAAAAAGTACACTGTATTCCATCATCCAAATAATTACTGACAAATATTGGGTGGAAATGAGCATAGGACAGATTTCTGTGGGTTCACCTCCCCAAGAATGTCCATTGAGTTTCTTGGGGAATGTATTAGCTAAATGGGTGCTGATACCAACTATGTCTACAGATAGACTTGTAGACCAAAACATTGGATTTTGAGGAGAGATCTGAAGAAGCAGAACAGCTTATTTTTGGGAGATGGAGTTATATATGAAAAGTGAAAGTTAGTTGCGCTGCATATGTTCTAGCAAGGGAAAACTTAGAACACAGCTGTGGTAGAAGTCCAAACCTTCAGAGACACTGAGCAAAAAAGGGACTTTGACCTATAAAATGAAATGACTGTGGTAAGGAAAAGTCTGTCTCCAAGATCAAGTAGGAGTGCTGTCAAGCAGACTGAGGTTAGTGATTACTCTCCTCTATCTGGCACTGGTGAGACCACATTTGGAGTGCTGTGTCCAGTTTTGAGACTGCCTCTCCCCCCCCCCGAAAGGATATGGATAAAATTTGAAAGAGTTCAAAAACAGAATTTTGGAGTAACTGGAGGCTGCATATTATTTCTTAATGGCCCCAACAGCCTAGCAAACTTCAATTGTCTGATCAGCTCTGTTTCAACAAACTCGCTTAAAAAGATCAACCATTGTTTTCACAGTACTCTGAAAAAGAGGATAAATATGAAGAAGAAATCAAGCTTCTCTCTGACAAACTCAAGGAGGTAAGACAGTATGTCCCAGTTAAATGGAGTCCTAGTGGATTGTTTTCTGGTCCAGAATTTAACTTTTTGCCTTTTTCCTAGGCTGAAACCCGTGCTGAGTTTGCAGAAAGAAGTGTTGCTAAACTGGAAAAGTCTATTGATGATCTGGAAGGTATGAAATCCCTTTGTTTATACAAGCCATCGGTTTCAAAATGGGGAAAAAATAATTTTAGCACTAGATATTCTTGCACATCACTGGGTCAAGAGTGGAATTTGTTTTATGCCACTGCAGTTAACTAGCCAGTCAGGAACATAGTTGAAATGTACTTCTCCCTCAGTAGCTTCCTCTACAAATACATCTGCTTAATAGTACTGTCAAATCAGACGACTTCACCAATGCATCACTGGACTCACTACTTGCATCAGGACCACTTAAAAACATCTGAGACCCCACTACAACAGTATAGTGTGTGGAACATTTAATACAGTGCGTTTGAGAGAAAAATGCCATGCTGCAGAATTCCTTATTTGTTAAATCTAATCTAATCCCTTGGCAGACAGTGAATTATGCCCAGTGCCTCCCATGTAACTGAATTTTAAAATCTTGTCTGCACTGAATACCAGCTAGTGCTGTTCATTATCAGAAAAACTACATCAGCTATCTGGTACAAGTTCCAAATAAGCTGTCCTGCAAACTGAAGGGCTTTGCACGGCAGATTGATAGGACTTATTTTTCAGTTATAGTTGTGGTTTCTGTAGTTTTTCAGTTCACCATGAAGAATTTAATTGTGTGGGAAATCATTGATAGTAATCAATGTCTGGAGACAGGAGGACAGGCTGCAGGGACAAAAAAAAAAAAAAAAAAAAAAAAAATCAAACTAGACTATAAAGTTTGAGATTTCAGTAAAGACAAAAAGTAACAAATCTCTTATAAACTGTGCAAGTATCTGAAGTAAAAGGAATATCAAAGTCTCTCGAAGATTAAGTAGGAGTGCTGTCAAGCAGATTGAGGGAAGTGATTACTCTCCTCTATTTGGCACTGGTGAGACCACATTTGGAGTGCTGTGGCCAGTCTTGAGAACACCCCCCACTTTTGCTACAGAAAGGATATGGATAAAATTTGAAAGAGTAGAGCAGAAGGCAGCAAAACTGGTTAAGGGGTTGGGGCACATCACTTCTGAGGAAACTGGGCTTATTTAGTCTGAAGAGAAGACTCAGGGGAGATGTAATAGCAGCCTTCAACTCCCTGAAGGGTGGTTCCAAAGAGGATGGAGCTGGGCTGTTCTCAGCGGTGGCAGGTGACAGAACAAGGAGCAATGGGCTCAAGTTCCAGCAAGGGAAGCTGAGGTTAGATATGAAGAAAAACTCACCAGGAGGGTGGTGAAGCACTGGAACAAGCTACCCAGAGAGATTGTGGAATCTCTACCTGTAAAGGTTTTGAAGACCCAGCTAGACAAAGCCTTGGCTCGGACGATACTTGGGAATGGTCCTGCTTTGAGTAGGGAGTTGGACTAGATGATCTCCTGAGGGCCCTTCCAACCCTCATTTTCTATGACTTTACAAGTCTAACAACTATTTGATAATGAAGGAATTTAGGCACTCAACACTATGAATAGCCACATACCTACGTAAGATACTTATGTAGGAAATGGCTTTGTGCAAATATGTAATTATTTAGTCATATTACCCTCATGGTTAAACAGTGAGCTATGAACTGGCTCATGATGATACCATCATTGTTCATCTCTTTCTGTTCACTTCAGTAAGGGAACATTCCTCTATAAAGGGCTTAGTCAGTCTGTCTGTGATTGGTTAGTGAAACGGGGGGGGAGTTTGTTGCATGTGCTCATGCAACAAACTCAAAGAAATACAATCCTCTTTCAGTAACATTTTATGCAAACAATTTCTTATTTAGTCTAACTTAAAAAAAAAAAATGTATCAAGGTTGTCAGTTTAATTCTACCCCTGCAACTAACATATAATCATCTCCTGCTCCCTTCTTCTCTGCTCCTCCTTGTCCGTGTCTCTTTTGGGACTGAGCAATGACAATCAAAGCCATGCAGGCTCAAAGTCATGCAAAAAGCTAGCAGAGCTATCCACAAAGATGAAGATTTATGGTATGACAACTGTTTGCCAAAATTTCACAAAGTTTTTCAATGTTTGCTTTCATTGTCAAAAGCCAAGGTAACTACTTACATACCAAATGCACTTAACCAAGGGGCCTTTAGTACTTAATTACTAGGAACAGAGTTCACCCAATTTATTGATGATCACTAGAAAAAGCCAACTTCTACATCTCCTAAAACTCTTAAAACTGTTTAAGTCGAAAAGGTTAATTTTAAGAATTTCTTACATGTGTATAGTCTGCGCTTCATATGAATATTCTTCTCACTTTCCCCCCCCCCTTCTGTTATTTTCCACTGTTCATCTTCACTTGATACATTCTGATGTTATCCTTTTTCTCTACTCTGTACCTTTCGCTGTGGACTGTTTTACTGCATCTCTCGTTGAACCATCTTTGGGCCATCCTTTGTAGATGAGCTGTATGCTCAGAAGCTAAAATACAAAGCTATCAGCGAGGAACTTGACCATGCTCTTAATGATATGACCTCTTTGTAACTAGCAACTCTCCTAGCTTTGTTCGATGCTTTTTAAAAATCTTCAGCCTGTAATACCGACCTCTGCGTGCAATCCTTAACATCAAACTTGTAGCTTGTTCTGTAAAAACTGATTGAAATAAAAACAAGTTTATCTTGCTGCCTGTGAACAAATCAGATGGTTTTATTTCTTTCCCACCATTAATGACATAAGTATGCTTCCTAGAGCTTCTTATTCAACCACAGTAACAGACTGTAGCAAAGCCCTATATTTTCACTAGGATACTTTAGAAAGAGTATTGCATTACCTCATGAAACGGTTTAAGTGACACGTGCACAGGCATACACTCACAGCGCATGCGCGCGCACACACACACACCCTGACCAATTCATCTGTTACTTTAAAATGTACCCGGAAAAAAAAATCACATTACTGACTTGGAAGTAAAGATGGTGCGGCTGGAAAGGTAAGTCAGCCATCAAAGGCTGCTGATATCATTCACAGAACTTAAACTGGATTATAGCTAATTATGTTCATGAAACAAGTAACACCTATCCTGAGATAGCAAAAGCCAGCTAAAAGGTTTAAGCATACTTACTATTTTCCACTTCATTTGAGAAGTGAACCTATTTCATTTGAGCCTACTATATAGTGAAATAAAGGCATACTGGAAGGAATCTGAAATTTGACTGATGTAAAATAACCAGAATAGAACCAACGGAAGGGAAAAGCAAAAACTCTGACAGAAGCCTAGGCACAGAGACAACGTTAGGAGGGTGCAGGGCCCGGGGCAAGTCAGTCAGCCTGTGCGAGGCCCCTTTAACACTGTGAGGGGCGGGGCCACAGCCACTGCGCCACCTCTGCAGGGCCCCCACAGAGCACAGGGCTCAGGCCCACCGCCTCGACTCGCCCCCCCACCCCCAAGGACGGCCCTGCCTAGGCACCATAAAGGGCAGAAAAACAAAATCTGAAGTGAGATGTGCAAAAGGGCCGGTTCTTCTTATAAGCAGAACGTGTGCGTGCATTATGGGTGATGAATAATCATCACTCTGCATGGAGTAGTATTCCAGCTGTCAACGTGCATTTACTTGGGGGCATATCGTTACCAGAGAATGACAAGTGAGCGTGAATTCAGAGCCGAGCGTTAGCGTGACTGGCACGCTGAAAAGCAACGTATCAGGAAGGGAAAGCAGATGCATCTCAAGCTCTAGACAGGCCAGCCTCCGACAACCCAACTAGAGAGAGGATAGAAAGAAGTCTGCAGGGAAAGAACAAGTGTGAAAACAGGATGGGTTGTGTCAGCAAGCGCATAACTTACAAATCAAGGGGAGCAATTCTTTTGCTGTATTCAGCACTGCCGAGGCCCTGTACTTCAAGAAGGATACGGACAGACTGGAACCAGCCCGGCAGACAGCCACGAACACCGCTAGCAGCCAGGGAAGCACAACTTACAAGGAAGGTCTGAAAGAGGCAGCTTTTTAGTCTGCAGAAGAGAAGGCTGCGGGGGGTGGTCACGGTCTTCAAGTACCCGGAAGGTGCTTCCAGAGCGGGAGGAGATGGGCTCTGGGCTCTGGCAGCAGGGAGAGCACTAGGAGTAGAGGGAAGTGAGGCTTGTGATCAGGAGCCGTGCCCGACACCGGGCGGCCTACCTCGAGGAGCGGCGCCGTCTCCGTGCCTGGAAGTTGCCGAGAGCAGGTTGGGCAGCGGCCCGGCTGCGACGGATCCACTTGCCACAACCCGGTCTGCGCTGGCTGCTGCTCGCGCGCGCGCTGTTGCCGACTCTGGTTTTGCCCGCGGGCCGTGCCGGAGTGCAGGCAGGCCCGGGGAGGCTGGAGCGATGCTCGGGACCGAAGGCCGCGCTGACCGCGAGGCACGAAGGCGGCGCCCCAGATCCGGCCCAGCGCAGA